GAGATCGCTTAGCGGATTTCCGCTGGTAAGTTTGCCGGCGCAACCTCCGGCATGCAAACGGTTTAGTAGCTCGGTTCCAACGGGTTTCCTGTAATTTGTAAACCGATTTTCTTTCTTCGGAATAAATAGTTAGCTTTTCTGATGTTCTGTTTGATTTCTATAGAACATGGCTGATTCAATATCTACTCGTTGTGCGAAACTCAACCAGATTTTTGCCGGAAAAAATGTTGGTCGTAAGTCGTGCGGAACTTTCACTCGCGAAGCACTTTTGGATGCCTTTCTGCTACTCTTCGATGAATGTAACTCGGAGTACATGCTCAAGGACAAGAATATTTCTGGATTTGTCAAGAAATGTAAGTATCAGAACTATTTCGCTATTTTTACTTAGTGATAGAGTTTAAACGAGTGTTCAGCTGGATTGGAAAGCTTTGTTACTTTACATCAACATTCGTGTCTACAGCTGTAGTCCTTGTAAGTTTGTAAGAGTGTTAGACTTGCCATCTTTGATTAATTAGGTCTTTTTTTGTAATCATTTACCTGATGATTATGTGTAGAAATGTATTAAGAACAATTTCAGTTCCAAGGTTTAAGGATATAATGGAGTTTCTCTTCAAAAATTGACCTGTGAACAATCCATGGCAATCTATGTATCCAACTGTATGTTCGTAAGTACATGTACGTTCAGTAATAGTGTTTTAGCCTCATGGTATTATTTAATTAAGTTTCCATTCTTATCCTTTTATTCTTCAGATCAGCCCATGGTTGATGATCTTCGAAAGATTTGCTTATGCAAGGATGATTTCGAGGTTTTGAACACTATTGGCAGAGGGCATTTCGGACAGGTATTGTTGAAATATCACCGGCACATTTAATAATAAAAATCGAATTCGATCGAAGAGTGACTATTTTACATGGAATTTAATCTATTTCGAAGTTTGAAGGTTTCCATCAGACGTTAAAATTGCAACGAATGGCGAATTTACTTTTGGAAAGTAACCGTACGAAATTCCATAAATGTTTTTGACACTTTGAAAATTTCTATTTATAGTTTACCCAATGGAATCTCAAAACTTACATGAACAATATAGTGGTTTGGATACTGTTTTCATTTTACTTTCAGATTAAAATATTATATTAAGCTTTTTGAAAAGTTATTGGTAGGATGAAACATGCCTCTAGAGTCTTTTATTCAAACTATTAAAACAGGTTCAAGTTGTCAAAGACAAACACGGTGGGGATGTGTTTGCTATGAAAACATTGAAGAAGAGTCAAACACTGGCTCAGGAAAGTGTGAGTATATAGATAAACTGAGCATTGTTAAGCAGACATTAAATGTTTCTAACATCCTATGATGCTTAGCGACGTGTTCTCTATTAAAAACACCCTTAACAGAATAGAAATTTATTTATCTAATGGTGTGCATATTTATGAAGTGAGAAACACCTCTTGATGTTTTACATCAAGAAGTTCTTGCCAATTATTGTATTGTAAACTGTAAGTTGTCAATAAGTTGTCAATATTTTAGATCATATGGTCATCGGCTGTCACACCAATTTATTATGATTAATATTTTTACCATTTTTAAAGTATTTAATGATACATGAAGAACAGTGCTGGAGAGCAGCATCTTTTCTGGTTGTAGTAGTCATTAGTATTTACCACATGAGTGAATTACACTTTTTGCATGTGCAGATGGGCTAGTGTAAAAGTGAATATCAAGTATCATTCACCTCTGAGCAGCCAATGAGACAGAATTATTATTATTAAACAATTATTCACTCAAGGTCAGTGAAAGTGGTGGATATTTATGTGTACCTAGCCACTTATTGGCTTGGTAAATATCCATCACTATTCATCTCCACTTGGGTGAATAATGGTTAATTGTGGCCTTAACTGTCTTGTATGTGTACATCTGGATCTATTGAAGATTCTTATACTTATTTTGTTGATGATGACAGTGGCAATCTTAAATTGCTTGCTGAATAGTTTACCTAACGTAATGCTTTTCCTTGTTCACAGCTTATTCTTTACCACTGATCTTTTATCAAAAGGTTGCTTTCTATGATGAAGAAAGAGAAATAATGGCACTATGCAATAATCCTTGGATAACATCACTACAATATGCTTTTCAAGACATCAATAACTTGTATCTTGTGATGGAGTATCACCCTGGTGGAGACCTATTGTCTTTGTTAAGCAAGTATGACGATATACTAGAGGAGGATGTTGCACGGTTTTATCTTGCTGAGATGGTCCTGGCTGTTCACAGTCTTCATGTGTTAGGCTATGTGCACAGGTAGATTCCTCTTACTGCTGGTGTTAGAATTTCAAAAGCCAAAATTCTCAGACTTCTTTTTGTCACATATTATAGATTTGTTAACTCTGATTTACACTGTGTGGTAGTATCATGATAATACACCTGTAGATTAGAAATCTGACAGCCTGGTCTAAGTAGAGTAGTTCATAATTACTGTAATAGAAATCTGAGTGAAAGTTAACAATATTCTTGACAGAAGACACAGTTATAACAGGGACTTACAAGTGTACAAACTTGCTGTACCTTTTTTCAACAGGGATATCAAGCCAGACAATGTCCTTCTTGATCGAACTGGACACATTAAATTAGCAGATTTTGGTTCATCAGCCAGACTTTCAGCAGAAAAAAAGGTAATACATATTACTTAAATTAATTTATCCTTAATTAAATATATTTATGAAACCAAGGGGAACTTATATTAGTGACTCGTAATCTTTTAAGAGATTTCAAGTTTGCAAGGCCAAGAGAGGTCTGTTTTTTTTGTAAATTGTTTGGTACTTTATGCAAAATTTCCATGTAGGAAATCCTTTCTTGAAGGTTAACAAGTTTTTATTTTTGAAAATAAAGTAATTTAGACTGTCTTCATCCAATTATTGTTTTGATTGTCTTTATGGTTACTGAATATTACTGCAGATAGTTTGCTTATTACTTAAAATCTCAGTTAGCATAAAACATTCTCCAAGTCCCATCAGAATATTGGACCCTTTGTTAGCTAACCATCAGCAATTTATCTTCTTTGATTTCAACATAATCTACTGTAGTACATATAAATAGTAACTTTTTGTGGTTGATGTTGTATTTGTGAATAGGTACACAGTAAAATGCCAGTTGGCACTCCTGAGTACATTGCACCTGAAGTGTTAACCAGTATGGATGGATCAGGTGGTCCATATGGAGTGGAATGTGATTGGTGGTCACTTGGTGTTGTTGCTTTTGAGATGTTGTGTGGACAGACACCATTTGAGGCTGACTCAGTAGTGATAACTTACAGCAAGATCATGAATTACAAGGTACCTGGCACTAATGTATAAGTCATTTTATCTCTGTCATTTTTCATGTATCATTTTTTTAATTATAGTTTTCTGGTTACTATTCTTGTTATCATTAATGTTATTGTTATTATTATTTACAACTACAGCACACATTACTTAAACTACACTGACACTTACCATCCATTTAACTTTTGCTATGTTGTATTTATAGTTGTAAAAACTATATTCAATCAACCTTTGGTCTCTAAATTGATTATTATTCCAGACATCCTTGCAGTTTTCAAAGGATGCCCAAGTCAGCAAAAACGCAAGGGATTTGATTCTAAAATTGTGCACTGACTGTAAGTCAAGAGTGGGCTATGAGGGACTTCTTTGTCACCAGTTCTTCAATGGCATTGAGTGGAATAATTTACAAGAGAGTAAGTCAAACTGTTCTTTACAGTGTACTTGTGAGGATGGGATAAAACGTAGCAGAAACTCAACAGTCACCTTTATAGTAGGTATTACACTGTAGCTCAATCCATTTGGGAGTTAGAGAAATGGAAATTTACGTTTTTGACATCCCACATTGTACCAAAGTGCTTCTGGGTGACAGAAGACTTGAATGTAGATCAAGAAACATAATACGCACACACACGAAAAAGGGAGCCACTGAAGTCAAATCAGGCCATGCGGTGGTTTGAGTCTGATCATCAAGTAAAAGGAGGCTCAGAGTGTATGGCTATCCTTCCCATCCTGGTCTGATACAAGTACCTTTCCAGTCACTGGACTAAAAACTTTTTACATACTTTTCAAGGCAAAATGTAGTTACTTGTAGTGGAACAAAAAAAGAAGAAACAAAAAGCGAAGACAGAGAAAAAAAAATTGTCTTCCCTAGAACCCATTCTTTGAATGGTCCACGCCAATATGACTAGTGTTCATACAGTTTATTCTATGTACTGTAGCCGTGCCGCCGTACGTCCCAAACCTGGATGGTGCAGCAGACACATCACACTTTGATGAATTTGAACCCGAGAGCCCTGATGTGATAGCACACCTGGAAAAGTACAACTTAAACGACGGCAAGGGATTCACAGGCAAAGATCTTCCATTTGTCGGCTTCACTTTCTCAAGAAATCTTGCCAACAGTGTTCCTTTTTCTCCTAGGAAGTAAGTAAAGCTTGATGTAGAAGGATCAAATCAAACGAGTGTAAATATTTATGCAGCCGGAATTGCTTTTTTGTATTTAATTTCGCGCCTTGCTTCCAATTCGTCCCTTTCTCTGTCTTTTTTCCTGTGGCATACAATACTACCTTACTTTCTCGACATAGCTAGAAATTTGAACCAAACATTCAAGATGCAAAGAAGGAGGAAATTCAGCAGTAAAAATGAAAGTGTTTAAAAAATATGAAAAAAGTACAATAGTGAGCAATAGAAATATTTCTTGCATACATGCCGTGTGTCAAAGACGGTCAAACGCCGCCTTGTATTTCGTTGTTGCTGCCAGACTTGACCTATGACTGCTGAGAAAGAGACAATGTTGTTTACGTTCAAGTCAGGTTCAAGCCTGAAGCAGCCTCGTTGATTTTGTCGCAGTTGCAGTTTGTGCGGTGAGGAATGTATTACATAGATTTTGCGATATAATTATATTTTGGCGCGGTCGCTCTTTTCAGTTTTAATGTTACTTTTTTTCACGTTTTCCTGTTTCAACAAACTACTATTTCGATGTTTCCTTCAACTTCTGTAACAGCAATCAAAAAGTAGAAATATCATGGCAAACTTTTTTTTTTTAAAGTTTGTGTACGCTCATTTTCATTCATCGATTTTATTTCGTTTTTCGCACATAACTCTGTTTCATCTGTACTTTCAGAGCTGGAAGTCTTCCCAACTCGCCCATGTCATCTGGTCTGCCCCCGAGCCGTCTGGAACGAAAACTGACGATCAAGGCTAAAGAACTGAAGGATGCGCTGCAGTCATGTCACACTTTAAAAGATGAAAGTGTCTGTATGAAAAAGAGCTTGGAAGAACTTCAAAGCGCATTAGAACAGAAAGACAAAGCGCTAAGGAACGCTGAATATGAAAGAGATCTGCTTGAAAAGGAGAAGGTCCTCTATGATACTCAAGTCAAGGTACAGTAAGCACGTAACGTAGAAAAAGGAGGCTTCCACTCCAAGACGCAGAAAAGTTGTATTAACGGTACATGTATTTAGAGGTTCTAACTGTGAACCTTGCTTGGTTTCTAGTCATAGATTTCTTAAAAATAGAATTTTTGAATTTCGCTCTGCTCCGAGATTTGCAGAATTACATTATTCTCTGGAGAGTTTGTGAGTATCTCCAACGCTGGTTCTTTTTTCTTGGAAATTTTTACCTAGACTTCAGAAAGGGTGCAATGTTTTAGTAATGTGGCTTCACGAGATTTCACTGTTAATTTCTTACGGAAGTCTGACTATTTTCCTTTGAAACCGCCGTTGAAATCAACAAATTATAACCCTAGAATGTAACTGATTATGTTCGGTTTGGCGGGTTTCCTCATATTATTTTGCTTGGCCATAACAGGACCTACAGAGACGCCTTGATCTGGAGAGAGCTGAACGAAACAAGACGGACTCTGCTACTCTTAAACTGCTTTCGGAACTGAAAGAAGACAGTGAAAAGGCGAATGAACTGAGAAACCAGGAGAGCAGGTTAGCTTATGGATAGGCTTAACAAATGCAAAAATTTAGATTCTACTTTGTCCATTAATAAGCCCAGTTTTGAGTGCATAGTTGTAATCCACCGTCTTGTCAGGTCTCTCGCGCTAATATGAATGGCCTTATGGCTTGCTCTTTGCATGCGCTTTGCGAAAAGAGAGAGTAGAAATTTTATTTCAACCCTCCGATCCGTCCTTTTTAAGAGAGAGAGACCTTTTTAAGATCTCTCCGAAAACGTCTCTGGGCTACAGGAAGAGGAACGTACAACCTGCCAAAAAATCTAAAAATGGCTTTTTTCATTGGGAAAAGAGAGAACGCTTTGTTAAATACTCATAAAAATGGACAAATGGTGAATCCTAGAGAATAATTCCTACGCACCCCGTTTAGTCTGTAAGAAATCCTAAACAAAATGCTTGATCTCCAACAAAAGTATTTATCGTTATGGTCTGGTTTGAATTCAACGTGCAGGGAGAATCTCGAGGACCTTCAACAAATTGTAGCCCAGTTGGAAAACGATCGGTTTATAGCCAGTAGACGTGCTCAACGATTAGAAGAAGAGCTGAAATCACAAGAAAAGGTAAAAATGTATTTAGAAAGAGTGTTTTGTTGATTGAAACTCAACGGTATACAGATTCAATTGTCTTTATAACTCCTCTCCTAAATGAACCCTTGCGGTATATTAGCAATAAACCCCACAAATTTGTTACTAGCTTCTTGTTCGAGTTTACAATTTTTTCCATTTAATATTAGACCGTTCCTGTGCTTTAACCCTTTGACCCCAAAGGCTGACCAGCGTGTAATTTCTCCTCACAATATCACCTCTGAATCAAACATTAGGGTCATAAAAATTAAGGAAATGATCAGCAACTAAAGAAGCTCTTGATTGTTAAACAAATTCTCCTTGTCAGCACCTTAGGAATGTATGGAGACCAGTATGGAGAATACGCATATTAAAGTTAGGGTGCAAAGGATAAATGCATGCAGTTAACCTTGCACGTACCGCACTGTTTAGAGAACGTCATGCCTCGGTAATACGCCATAACGTTCGATGTCCGGTATGGCTTATTTTAAAAACCAGCAACGAAGGAAAACGCTATGAGCGATCATGCAACAATAGCATTCAAAACATGAATCATTGAATCTGTTTGCTTAACAGCTTCTTGAAGTCAGTAAGAGCCGAATCAATGACCATCAAGCCAGAATGACAAAGGTAAATTTGTCTTCTTATTATTCTGCGCCCTTTGAGTTACTTCTTGTGTCTAAAAAACTTAGACTCGCTTTTAAAGTAATTTGTTTTACTTAAAGTTGGCTGAGAGCCTGATTTCTCGTTGAACGCAGTTGGAATATTGTTTCCACGCATGGTGTCACAGTTCATATATGAAGGTCAACCGAAGCAGTGAAAGTAAACTCTGTGAACTTGTTCAGCGAACGTTGCAATATAACCAGCATATTATTCAGCCACTAAATCTCTTCAATTTTATCGCCTCAACTGAGTCAGGATTGGGTAGAATCGCGCGTAATATGTCTACAGGGTATACTAAGAGTGGGGTGTGTTCTGTTGATCCATCGATCGTTATCTTTTTTTGTTAGAGGCACAAGTGCAGGCGGGGTTTTGGTTTGTAAGGCCTTTTTCTTAAGGTGTTGTGAACGATTTTATCGATTATGTTTTGTATTTTCGCCAAGCAGTAAGATAAAACCCCACAGACAGATACGATCAAATACCCTTTGTTGCGTGCAAAATCAAAACCAAATTTTCATTATGACTGTCGATCAGTGCTAAGCGCCGTCCTGACACAACTTCTTTTGTATGGTAGATACCGAAATACACTACACCCTGTTCCTGTTATATTAGTTTAAACCGATTTTCCATTTCAAGATGAATGAAGAAGCAAAGAGGAGCATGATAGAATGGCAAGAAAAACTGGACAAAGTCACTAAGGACAGCAACGAAAGAATCGCGGAACTACAGCAAAAGTTGACCAAAGTAAGTAATGCACCTATAAAAACTTTCTAAGCCTGCTTGAGGGGCACGGCTCATTTGAGCGCGAGGGATGTACACCAACACGCACAAACGTTTAATTTGTCAGGCGGCGCAAAACGGTCAGCGTCTACTCTCTCGTGCTCGTGATACTTGCTTTTAGAACTCTGAAGAAAGTGAGCTTATAAAACAAAATAAAAAGGACCAGGGAAGGGGGTATCATGAGATCGAGTGCAATTTACAATTTGACCCTTCCTCTTAAAGTGAAACAAGGAAAATATGCCACACATGAATCTGATTGTGGAAGTGTTCTTGTTCAGTCCTTACAGTCAAACCAAGAGGCAACTGAATTGTTAGAAAACGTGCGGAAGACTAAAGACGAACTTCAAAAAGAATTCGAAAAGCTGAAGGTTTGTATGAAGATGGTAATATTTTCATCATGATAACTCGTTTTTATGATTTCCACCTTCCATTTCTTGGAGCCTTTTCAAGCTTTTTAAGATATCAAAAAACGGTTTTCGCTGCACTGCTTTTTTCGGCATTGATATATATGGTGAACTTCCCCCTCCTCCCCTCCCCCCCCCCCCCCCCCCCCCTTCCCTGACAGGTTTAAGGTAAAAGGAAAGTAAGCAATCACAAGTTTTCCAGAGTCATAGTTGTTCTTATTTAGTAAACTGGACGCTGAACATTTCATCCAACCCTAATTTTTGCGCAATTTAACTTTTGTAGAAGTCAAGCAAGTTATCGAACTCTACAGAAGAGGAAGGAAAGGTAAGAATTATTTCTCAACCCGTGAAAATTTAGGTTCGATGAACGTCGTTCAAGCTCTTGTCTGAAAGTTTTGCTCTGAACAAGTTAAATCCGCATAGAAAAAACGTTTGGAGTTACCTTGCTCCTCTTTACAGCTTAGCTTTACTTTTTCGTTTAATCATTTAGTGAATTGTTCATTTTTTCTATTTGTTACCTTTAGCCTTTTACACCAACAAGGAGATCAGATAGTGCAGTTATAGGACTTAAGTACAAAGAAGAGTTAGCAGAGGAGATATTTAAACGGATAATGGTAAAGAGATAGAAGAGGAAATTAACATTTAGTACGGGTTGAGGTAGTTAGATAGGTTATTAGTTTGCGCAAATTTGGGAGATAGATACCAAGCCCTCACCAACATAAAGCGTTTTCAAAAGTTTCCTTTTTCTTATTCAATACGAAGCCAGTTTCTTTTGCTCAGTGTTTTCGTTTCGTCTTCACCACTCCACACTAGTGCGTTTCAATTTAAAAACACTAAGACGAACGGAAACGCTGATAGAAGCGACCCTACATGATGCTCTTTTTGTGACCGTTTTCAGAAGCCTTAAGTTTTTTCTTCTAAATGGGCTGTGCGTTTATTAAAGATTCCTTTTCTGAAAATGTCTGTGTGTTAACCAACGTCTTCGGACTTGTGTGAATGGTAGGCTAAACGTGTCCGAAAGAATATATAATCAAACGAAATTGCATTTGTGTGGGTGAGAACTGAATATTAATAGGAAATAAGTATATTTATCCAGGACAAGGGTTCCGCGAACGAGGTTGTTTAAGTGGAGTTAGTGGTGTACGGAAACATTGAGATCGAATACCTCTAATGTTGTGATACATTAAGACCTTTGCCATCGTGAGCGCATAAACAGTCTATTACTATTTTCGTAGTCGTGTAAAGATGCTCAAATCAAGCGGACTGAAGAGGGCGATAACAGTGTACGAGAGCGTTTTAGAGAAAAATCGGCTGAAGTACGTAAGCTTCAAAGTAAGATCATGGTAAGTGAAGACTAATCCATAGCCTGCCTCTTTGGAATCTTCTAAAGAAATGGAGTGAACCCGGTCAGCTAGACTGGCTTGATTTTCAACATGTCCCCTCGCTAAACTTTCGATTTGTTCATTCGGACTGGGCAGAACCAGTTACCGAGATCTCGGAAATCGGGTTGGAGGTTCCCCATACTAACACTCCATCTTCCTGATAAGCAGCACGAAACTTGAATGACAAGTCTTGTCCATGTTATAAACCAGACTGAAAACTCATCTAGCTCTGCTGCAAAATGAATATCCTTTATGAACTGAACTTAAATTTTGTTTTTGGTTGAACGGCCCTGTCTTATTACGAGGCTTATATGATGAGATCTCGACTTTGGAGCGTTTGAGTATCAGTTGCTTTCACAAAATCACGGTTTGTGATCTTGAGAATTCCTCTGATCAAATGGCACACTTCCAAGAACTTTGAAATCACCTGCCAGCAGTCAACGGAAATAGTTTGTGAAATGCGTCCGTTTCACGGACAGTCTGGAAACTTTAAAAGTTTTGGTTAGTGGAAAACACCCTCAGAGTGGTCACGCTGAATTGCTCACTCTTTGGTCCACAGAGAATCTTCGAAACGTTACGTAACTGGATTGGGAGTGTTAGAAAATTGTTCAATGAAATCAACGCGTTGCATTTTAATAAATGTATCATAGAGGTCTTCGTGTACTTTCGAAATTCACTTTTGATTGTTCGTATGTCTATTAGCTAATTGGTGAAATGAGAAGTTGTATGCGATGATTTTACTTCTTTCTCGCAGGATTTAGAGGATCAATTGTTTCAAAGCCAGAGATCACAAAAGAAGTTAGAAAAGGATGCTGCAAACAGGCAGGCTCAGGAGGAAAAAATACAGGTAACTTCAGTCTGTATTGTAATCTTTAAGCTGAGATGTCATATAATCACCCTGATTGTTTGGTTGTAGTGTCGGAGAATATGGTGGTTAGTGGAAGTGTTATGAGCCCACTTACTCTTTTCTGCCAGACTATATCGTGCTTTCATCTGTATATAGTATGTATAGGTATTACAGTAAATGGTTTGAACCCGGGAGTAACATGTAATAGTGTAGTTTGATCGTCCGGGTGAGTGTAATCCTGAGAAGGACTGTTGTCGGTAGTGATGACTGACGTTTCGACAACCTGAGCGAAGTCATCATCAGAGTCAAGTGAAAGGTTGTTGTCAGTCGAATGTACTTAGTTCGGTTTGTGTACACTGATTGGTCAGTTTTGCCGTGATGTTATTGGCTGTAAGACTCAAGTGGCGTAGGTCAGTCGTGATTGGTCGGCTTGGATCCGTTAGTGAAGTTAGGTCGTTCTGTTCGGTTCTTTTGTAATGTTAATGTCGTGGATGAGTCGTTTGTATGGTGCCGGTAGTGGTTGACACCTGTTGACGGGAGTCTGTTAAAAGTTAGTAAACCAGCTTTCCATGGTCAGTCGTTGAAAGTAGTTGGTGCTGTAGGTTAGGCATTGCGTAGAGTCCCAGTCAATATTGTGGTTCGTAAGTCGGTGATGTTCAGCAATGTGATTGTTGACATCGCCTTTCCTCGTCGCTCGTTTGTGTTCAGTCAGTCTAGTTTATAGGCATTGTTACTCCTCCTGCAACGACTACTTGGCCAATGCAAATTATCCTCCAGTAATTCATCAAGATTTCCTGAACGTTCCCGGGCACCCACTGATTTTCCTGGATGGAGGAGGCATTGTGAGAGTAAGGTGTGTCCCACACCTATCAATCCAGATCTGGCGATTAACATTTGATAACCGCATCTGCCACAGTCAATTCTATATAAACCGAAAACACATGTTTCCAATATTACCAGGAAATGGAGAAAGAAATTGATACTTTATCACGATACAAGAGAAAGATTGAAAATACCAACAACAGACTTGAGAGTGAGCTGGAGGAAACGAAAAAGCTAATGGCGTCACGAGATCAGGTCAGTGGAGCCTTTTTGTACTCCTCTATCCTCTTCAAATACAGCAACACAGTTAGTTGGAAGAACTGATGACATATTTGAGCGAATGGGGAGAGGGAGTATCATCTCTCGTGCTCGCCTTGCCTTTCCATTTGTTTACCTGAAGAACACAAAAACGATAGCGCCCGTTCTGCAGGCTTCTGCAGATGTGGTAGAATTAAAGGAACACGATTTTCATACTTCTCTCACTGTTGAGAGACGTTCATAGCAAATGACGGGGCTTATCGCGACACAAAATTTCCTCTACTTTTCTCTTTTTGACTACGAAAGGGAGCTAACAACTAATTTGTGAATGATTTTGTATGTTGACTCAAGAAAATTGGTGCCTTGACGGGAAAGTGCAGGACATTAGAGGAAATGCTTAAAGAGAATGTTGAACTCAGCAGAAGAAGCTCAGAGGCAGATTATGACAACAATGGAAAACAGTAAGTATTGACTTTGTTTAATCGCTGCCTCCTTGAGGTGGGGTCTTGAGACAAAAGAAAATAGTAACAAGGAATGATAAAACAACCAAGCATAATTCCCAGATGCCAGTGTAAAGCTAGTGTGGGACCTTTTAACCTCTGCTCTAAAACATTCTTACGCCCCTTTAGACAGTAACGTCTTGACGGTGGCATATTGCAGGGCTTAATCACACAGTGAGATCGACTCATATAACGACTGCCTTTTTGTCCTCCTTTAGAGTAATCAATGGAGCTGAATTGGAAAAGTTATGCGATGAGAAAGAGATGATGACGATTAAGTTGACCGGGCTGGAGAGTGACTTAAAAATTCAACAGCAGGTACTGGCGAGTGATGCTTATTGCAATAATATTTATTTGTTGTGCATTTCTGAACCTGTTTTTATTGCGTGTGGTTTACAGAAAAACTCCTCGCTGGAGAAGCAGCTTGAAGATTCAGACCATAACTCGAAAAAGGTAAGAAAAAGGAAAGTCTGATATCCGAAAATTCCAGGTTTATCACATCTTTTACAGATTGGTTTGCCTATTGCATGATACGGTATGCTGCTGAACTGTTAGGACAGTCCCTGCTGAACAAGCTCATGGGCCAACGCGAATATCTTAAGACAGGACAAATTGCCTTCATCATTGAGTTCTTGTTAACAATCTCTGTCCAAAACGTTTTCTTTTTCTTTCTCTGATATAGTCAGGCCAGGGAAGAAAAGTTTAATGTTGGAAGCAATATGCTCTTCGAAAGTGTTGTACACATAATTCTTTGATTGTAAGACCAAATCGATGTTGAATTGAGTTTAGCCTCCAAGATGTTTGGGAGGGGAGGGTGGGGTAAAGGATTTTGAAGGGAACGGAAATTGCACTTATAAAAATGTATTTCTTGTGATTTAAACCGTTAGCTTGCTAAAGAAATGGAGCGAAAGGTGCAAGAACTTGAGAAGCAACTAAATGAGGTAGGTGATTGGTGGAGCTCAGTGGGTTGAAGGGTGGGAGGATTGGATGATAGGTTTGTTGCTTAGCTGTCTCTTGACGCTTGCTTGATAAGACAACATCGGGTGCGTGGTTCCCATCTCGCCTCCACTCCTCTAAATCACTTGGGTTTTCGGCTCAGCAGGCTGTATGATTATGAACTTAACGCTTGCTGACATGCTCTGGAATTTCAACCTAGTTGGTCCTTGCTCGCTGTGTCTTTGAATTCAAGTCTCGGCATAATCGGTTTATTTGGTACTGATAATCATTTATGGACTTTTTCTCCTCACAGCTTTCTATAGAACGTTCTGAATTGAGATCAACGAAGAAGGCATTGGAGGAAACCATTCTCAAATTGGAGGTACATACACTCGGCCCTTTTTCACGCATATTTCTCAATGACGTTCCCATGTTGCTATCTACATTTTGGCCTGTTGAGACCAGAACATATCTAAAACATGAGGTGACTGTCAGAGTCGGCTCAAAGACCGTCGCCGTAGAGTTAGAGAGCAAATATTTTCTACAAAAACCTGAACATCTGCTGTTGATTTAATATTTAGGGGTATTCAGCCTCTTCGTTCTCTTTCAGAATGAGATTGACACCAGAGAATTTGAGTTGGAGCTAAAGGTAAATCCTTTTTTCTTTCTCATGCGGCGTAGCAAGATTTTTGTGTCCCCAAGTCATTTTAATTAAAATGTAAAATCCAAATTCGAGGTGTCGTCGCCCTCGGTCTTCGAGTGCAGCCATTTCCCAGTACCACTGATAGGTTGTTGAAACGAGAGATGTGATTATACAGTGTTAGGGTCGATATGAGTGCATCATGAGGAAAACTTAATCATTTCACTCTCTACTTCTTTTAGGCCTCGGCCAGGCAGGATAAGATTACCAGAACAATGCAGGAGAATCGGTCAGAGGTACGTACGCCTTTTCATCTATTTTTTTTATATTATTGTATTTTTTTTATATTATTGTATTCCTTGCACACTTGATTTTGAACTCATTATGTCAGTGGCACTCGCATCATTGAGGAATTGCTTTGATCTGGTCTAGTGCCTTGCTTCTTGATCTCTCTAATGATGAACCGGAAAGTGATAATTCATAGCCTAAATGCACGTCTCCTTTCTATTCTGTGTGATACACAGGTTGTTCAGGAAATCCACGTTCAACTAAGTGAAATGTCCAATCGCTGCAACGAACTGGTGGCACAAATCAAAGTAAGTCAAACCTCATGCAGTTCTTGATGTTTTACTGGAGCAGGCTGAGGTATTGCAGCGCCAATAAGTTAACAAACAGCGTGTATGAGTTTCTAATAGGAGTTAGAAGTGAGAGTTCTCGGAAGGTGTTATTGTTCTTCTTGTCTTTTCTCTCTTGTCGTCTGCTATGTTGATCGTTTTTATTTCATCTTCTTTAAGGAGCTGGAAAAGAAAGTTGAAGAACTTACAGACGAAAATTGTGATCTTAAGGTTACAAAGGAGAAACTTGAAGATGAATTGAATGAAAAGAAGAGGGCAGCTGAAGGCATAGAATTTGTAAGTTTAGTAACTTATGTTTCCGTCTGCAGATTTGCTTTGTATCAAATTATTTCTGTCAATTGTGTTCGTAAGTTTATCACCAAACACTTGCTTCATTGGTGAAACTCCTCTGATCAATCATAAATGGTGTGTGTCGGATGATTTATGTACGTACTTATTCACAGACCAACTCGATGTTGAAATCTACTTGTACTATGCTGGAAAATCAAGTCGAGGAACTGGAGATTATCAACGAGGACTTTGAAGAAAAACAGTTACAATGGAATATCACAAGGTATTGGATTGTTCTCCGGCCACGGAGGTGCAGTGCCCGATTTCGTGAGTCAACCAAAACACTCACCTTGATATATTTTTTGTTTCTTCAAAGGGGAGATTTGGAGCAAAAACGAGAGAAAATTGAGTGTGAACTTGTGGAAAATCGGCGTTCATTGGAACAGGAAAAAATAGCACGGTAAGGAAAAGACCTGTAAGTATCTTCGACGGGTTCTCCTACTTTCTTTGGAAAATCAAAGTGGCAAAACGTTCGTGTCTTTTACCTCCCTTTTCGAAAGATGAACTAAAAGGGATTTATATCCCCTGAGATATGCCAATTAACCTTTCAACGGCTATGTTAAATGACTTTGTTATATTGCCCAGTTTGGCTGCCGAAGAGAAAGTATCCAAGCTACAAGATGCGTTGAAAGAAGTGCAAAACACTCATATCAAGGAGGTTAGTGAGATGAACGCTCAACTGGACAGACAGAGACAACGATGCGAGGAGCTGACAGAAGCGGTAAGCTCTAGTTTGGTCAATTATTCCCTCCGGCGCATGTCTCTAGGTGGCGCGCAAAAAACCATGCGTGCGACCCACATCAACTTTCAGATGACTCAACTGACTTGTGAATGCTATAGTAAGTTAATTTAAGGAGAAAAAAATTCCAAATCATAAAAAGAAAGGAAAAACTGTATAATGAATAATCAAAGGATGTCCATGAGCACATGTCAGAGTAAGGTTTAAAAAAATTACATTAGTGATTAAAAAAATAATAATAATTTAGTATTATAATATTTCTACTATCTACATTATTCCTGAGGCACTTCTTCAATTGAAATTTTCGCGAAATAAGTTAGTCTTTATAGCAGTCTTAAAGCTCGCAAGATTATCGTGATGGCGCACGGATTATGGCAATGAGTTCCATAGTACGAAGAAGATGCGGTCCTTTTTGAAAAAACTTGGGAAAAGAAAAGAAAAACAAAGAAAGAAAATGTATCTTTTGCCATCTTACCCTCGAGGTTTTTTTTTTTGGCTCGTTTCATGACCTCGCTACGTAGAATATTTGTTTGTTTCGATCATCGTATTCCGAGTAAACCGCCCCTGAATGAAATTTATTGGCAAGCGACCAGACCTTACAAGAAGCAAAATTTGTACCCATTACAGCTCAGCGAAGCGGAGACCAAATTTGGAATGGCCCAACTGGATATTAAATCCTTGGAACGCAAACTTCAACTTGGAATTGAAGACAACAACAAGCTGAAGATTGAGGTTGAGCGATTCGAGAATCAAACTTCCAAGTTGAAGTCCAGTAATTTTGAGTTGAACCAGAACATCGAGGCAGCTATGGAGAAGTGCGATGAATTGACATGCGAACGGGCTGCTTTAGCTGAGCAGCTTGATCTCATGGAGGCTTCGCATGCCGAAGAACGCCTCAAGCTAGAGGCAACTAACTCTCAACAGACCAAACTGATTGACTTCTTGCAGTGCAAAGCTGAAGGCCAAGCATCTAAAAAGAAAAAGGTAAAGTTCTCCCGGAATTCATGGTGTATTTTAATAGAAATGATTTCCAACGTTTCGAGCGTTAGCCCTTCGTCAGAGCAATTAAAGAATTGCATTAAAAGAAGCTTGAAAGCAATTCATGCTTCGACGAGATTCGTTTCAAACCTCTCAGAAACTAGACAATTTAGTTTTATCAACCGAGTTAATACTGTAAATTGGCCACCACAGAGAGTTTCTATTTAGCTGGCACAGAAGTTAGAACGTTAACCCATCGTTAGAACGAATACTAGTTGGGCGTTACTAACAACTGAACTTGGAGGTCCCATGTTTGGAGCGAGAAAAAACGTTGTGGGTTCTTTTTTAATTTGACTGCGCAACGTTTTGCTTGGTTGATAAAAGGACAAGCGCTAAATATTTGTATGAAACCCAAACAAATCTTTGCTCTTGGATTGTATCTAGCCTTTGCATAGTAAGTTTCATTTTTCTATCGTTTTCCTGTTTCCAATTAAACCATTTTACTTCTACTAGTTTCTTTGAGATATGACTTGTTAAGTTGCAAGTAGTGTCTAGAAACGTTAACTGTGATACAATTATGATGTTTGTTAGCTTATCGGCGGTGGCAGTAAGTCGTGGCGTAAGAAACCAGAGAGTAGTATTAATGTGGTGCCGCAACAATGGCGAGACCTGCAGCAGGCGCTGGAGAAGGAAAGAGCTTCCAGTTTGAAACTACAGACTGAACTCAATAGGATTCGGCAAGAAATGCAGGCTGCTAAAATGGAAGGTATCCGTTTGATGTGCTTCTTTCAAAAGTTTGCTTAAAGTTAGCCAGAGAGGAAGTAAAGTTCTCAGTTGCTAAACTCGCTCGTCATACCCTCGCTTCTTTTGAAGGGGAGCATGCTTACAAACCGAGACTTACAGTCAAAATTTTGCTTCTTTTGAGTCTGAACCTGTTAGGTTACTCAGAACAATGTGTTCCAAGGAAATGATCATCAAATTCAGATTGTAGAGGAGAAACCCCAGTAGGTCAGTTTCTCTTCAGGAGAAAACGAACATTTCTCGTGGACGAAATTAAACGTGCTTTCCTGTATTATGTTCGGCTTATCGAGGTTCACTGTATACCAAGTTTAAACGTTATTGGCTCTCCTCCTCTCAAAGTGGAGTACAAAAAGCTACCCAAGGCACTCCCATGAGGGAGAGGGTGGCGGGTTGAAATATCCCTCACTTCTCTCTCAAATTTATTCAGAGATAGGACCTTTGCGGTTAAAATTAACGAAATGAACTCTTTAAGGAGCTTCTCACAGTCGAAGGCCATATTTACCATTTTACCGTTGTTTTTGCCTTTTGGCAGCTGTACACTGGAAATCACAAAACACCGGTATTGCTACTCCAAAACCGGCCCAGTCTTACGCAGTTTTGTCCGCGATCCAACAGTCGCCCAGCAACCAACCGAGTCCGTTGGGTGCTCAAAACCAGTCAAAGACTCCAAAGAATGCAGCCACCCCAGCCGGCCGCGGAACATCACACAGACCAAAAGAGAGGATGCATCATAATATACCACACAGGTATGATTTACAAGTTTATTGGTGGCCCCCAACTTTGTTGGCATCACCATTTGAGTTGCCTTCCCATTTGAGTGTTTTTATTTTCCTTCTAACAATCCCTTTGAAATGAGTGTGACCTATTGGAACAGCCCAATACTTCTGGGAGACCTAGTCACTTGGTCAATTTGAGTGACTCGGTCGCTTGATTTCATAAGTTGCAGACACAACATTCGTCGAACGCAGGTTTAGGTAGTGTCGTTAGCAAATTAAAGAATACGTATATCTTCTGTCTTCAGGTTTGTTAATGCCCTGAACATGCGTGCTACTAAGTGTGCAACGTGTTTGGACACTCTACACTTCGTGCGTCCATCATCTCGTTGTGCTGGTAAGTTTTTGAAATATTATCGCGCTGATAACTGATGTACGTCACCGGATCATTTATTCGGTTTTAATACATTTCGTTATAGAGTGCGGCCTGGTTTGCCACGTAAAGTGTGCACCAAACCTTCCACGTACCTGTGGACTACCAAGTGAGTTTGTTGATCACTTCACTGAAACTCTTCAGGAACAGAAGAACGATAAAAATGACGGCAAGTCACAGAGCACCACTCGGCTGGGAGGCAGGAGAGAAGGATGGCTAAGGGTACCACGGTATGCGGACCTTTTTGTGAAGTGCTTCTTGAAGTAATGTTGAGCAACTGTAGCGTGTCACAAATACTGTAACGTTTTATCATGTTGATTTCGGTAACATTCTGTTACAGTGGAGATCACAGCATAATCGATGAGCAATGCAGAAATTGAAAGAAAATTAAAACGCCGTTTTTATCAAACGAAGATGAACCCGTAATAATCAACTTTTGAATTGACGCTGGACTTTCGAAGATTCTTTTAATTTTGATAGAAAAAGCAAAGGAAAATTTTGTGTTAAGTTTTGATTATTATCCACTTTAGTGGCAACAAACAACTTTGCATCTTTTTACAGTTGCGGTTCTGTGAAGCATGGATGGGAGAAGAAGTGGGTCGTCCTTGCCGATCAAATGCTGCAGCTTTACGACAAAGAAAACATGGGCGGTGAGACAGTATTTCGAAATCCTCCAATTCTTCAAGGTGTCTACCGTAATGATAAAACTCTTACGTTTCTCTTTTTCAGAAAATTCGTCACCATCCGAAGTACTACACTTATGTGGCAAAGATGGTCACGTCACCGTTCATTCCGCTGTCATGTCATCAGAATTGATAGGTACCGCCCCTACGGATCTGCCCTACATACTAAGGGTGGAGTCGCGCCAGAGATGTTGGCCCGTTCAGAATCTTTACATCTTAGCGCCTTCATTCCCAGTCAAACAGAAATGGGTCGCCTCTTTGGAGTTCGTCTTGGATGAGATTAAGAAGAAGAATATCAACGGCGAGGATCAGGTTACAAACACTTTCTATTGTTCGTATTATGTACAGAGCAACCTTTCCCTGACGTGGTTTTGATTTTCTTTGCAGAAGCTCATGGGTAACGTGTTATTACATTTGGAGGAGGGCGAGCGTCTTGATATTAACTGCACAAAACTACTTAATGATGAGGTAAGAATCATAGACTTTCGGGAGTATTGTTAATGAAACTCGTGGACGCGATGGTTACAACATTAGAAGTCACTGACGCTCGGCATGGAATTTATGCGCCATCTATCGCCTGGTATCTTTCGTTACGGTAATAATAAATTTAGATGGTACCCGAAGTCTTTCCTCGCAGCCATTTCGACTAGGAAAGTTATCGCAATAAGTTACTCTCCACTTTTCGTTAGTTTTATTTGCTTTTCCTCCACGTTCTCTTTGCTTTTAGTTGTTTCTCCTTGGCGCCGAAGAAGGTCTCTTTTCTCTGTCGCTTGACGCTCCAGGAAAACACTCGCCTCGAGCCATCCCTGGAATCGAGAGAGCGTTTCAGATCGATATCTTGAGTGACTTGAACCAAGTTATCATGATTGCAGGTAAAATGAAAAATATACACATCCTGTCCTTCTTATTTTAAGGTCTTTTTGTTGTAAACATATTATTCGAAGGTTTGTATAGTCATTTGGAGCTAATCAGTGAAGGTCAAGGAAAGTTCATTATTCTTGTAAAAATTTATCAAGCTTTTGTCTTTTAAATTTGAAAAGGAATAAGACCACGACAAAATCTCTAGGTTTTATGGTTATATCGTGTACTGTGGAGTCCTCGATGTGCAATAAGTTGTCCTATGAGCTCAAGACATTGAGAGATATTATCTAGTATTTTCACTTGGGTATATGTTGACAGTGTCAAGCCAGATCGCTTTCCTTTTCTGACTGATGAGGTGTCCTTTTTCAGGAAAAGACAGACAGCTGTGTAGTGTTGATCTTAAGCAAGTCACAAGCCGCGCGCGGCATTCTAACTCTACTGTGCCAATATTAGAGCTGACTTCCCAGGGAATTGAAAAAATCACCAATTGCCATTTGTTTGCTGTTGGGCAGGTTTGTGTTCTCGCAGATCGACTGTTTTGATTTCTGTTTTAAGTAAAGGTAAAAGGTTTTGAATCAACTTAACGTATATTTTAACTTTGCAGAATTATATTGAAAACAACCGGTAATTAGATTCACCATGCTAAATTCAAGGCATTAAAGATAAATTGTGTTCATGACTGTTTATTCCATTGTTGCGATTATGTGTTGATGATGACCATAACACAATCAATAATGTTCCGGCTTCTGTTTTTTATAGCTTTCTTCCTGTTTGTTTGATTGTCTTAGTCATAAACGATATTGTAACTTAAACTTCTGCGGAAAATCTCTCGAAAATTCAGGTTGCTCTATATGAATAAATTTTTCCACTCTTTCAGTGCGAGGGTAACTTCTACATTTGTGCTGCAACTCCCAAAAGCATTCTACTGTTGCGATACAATGCAAGCATTGGGACATTTTGTACCCGCAAGGTAAGGAAAATAACCTTTCTTTTGGCTGAAGTCTTACATCTTTGCCAATCAGCAATTGAAAAGCTCTTTTAAGACACTTCGACCTCATTTGAAGCTGGATAACCTGCTTCTATTCCGAGAACAAGCCTGTGCTCGCTCTATGGTGGGGGGCTTAAACCCCAAAACAAAAACAGCCGGACTCTGAGTGATGCTCATACTTATAAGAGCTAGCTAGACTTGAACTTCATATGGTTTTTTTTTTTGGTACAATGCGGACCTGTTTTTCTTTGCAGGAGATCGAGACAAGCGAGCCATGTAACTGCATCCATTTCAGTGAGAATAACGTAATCTATGGTACTGGGAAGTTCTACATTCTGGACATAAAGCAACACGTTGTAAAAGGTTTGGAAAAGAAATTGAATTATATAGCGCAGATTTACCAGTTTCATGACTTGAAAAAAGAAAGAGCACTTTTTTTACACAAAAATACTAAATATTTCCTTTCAGAATTTCTGGACTGCCGAGACCCTTCATTGGCCTTCGCAGTTTATGGAGCCGCTCAACTGAACATATTTCCAATCGCCGTTCTCGATGTCACTTCTGCTGGTTCAGACCAAGAAGAATTGTTACTTTGTTTTAACGGTGAGAAATGTCCATCGAATTGAATCAAAAATGGATCGCACGCATGTTCAGTGTATCATTTGATTCGTGAGAAACTTTTAAAAAGGTTCAAATATATTCACTAATCTCGATTTTCCCCTTTGTCCCAGAGTTTGGAGTGTTTGTGAACAGCTTTGGTTCTCACAGCAGGCCAAAACCTTTGATGTGGAGCAGACTGCCGCTTGCTTTCGGTGAGTTTGATGATATCATTTGAAAAATGCTTCACTACTATTCCCCTTTTTCCATTTCTGCCATAGAGACGGCCCATTAATTTATTCTGATGTACTATGGCCTTGAGATTCACGCGCACATGGAACACCAGAAAGCAGCGTAACACGAAGAATCAGTGTTATTATTGTCTGCAAATGGGACAGCTTACCCAAATTCACAGATCGCGTGCTTGTGTTGCTAACATCATTTGAAATTGTCGATCCGTTGGCACAATTCTTCTAAAATGTCTATAATTTTGCCTAAACTGATTCCAGCCATGTTTAACCGTGGAATCAAGGGCTCAGTTTATGTGGGTGTGATTGATTCATACTAGCATGCACCAGTATCGTTCTAAGCCATTGTCCTCGTTCCCTTGATCAGCAGTCAGAGAGAGAGACTATGGTTAAGGCTGAATTTGATTAGCTATTAAGCAAGCTTTCACTTTATGGAAATTTCCCTATGGTAATTTACACAGTAACGATGCTCACCTTTCTGGTCCTCTGGGATGAGCTAATGGTGACCCACGCGCCAAGTTCTTTCAAAAAAGTCTGTAGTATGTAAAGGTCGCTAACTTGACTTTTGTTTCCTTCTTGTTTTGTACAGCATACAGTGAGCCATTCCTGTTTGTCACTCATTTTAATTCAATTGACGTTTGTGAAATCCCACCGATCAACGCCGAAAATCCCAGGTACCTTTGCACTTAATCTTCCTTGCTTATTTGTAATAATTTCAACGTTTCACTTTTTCACTTTTTTCTCGTTTTATTGTAGTCGGTACGTGCACAAGTTTATGGAAATTCAAAATCCACGAGTCCTTGGTCCAGCGGTCTCTCCTGGTGCAGTGTACCTCGCTTCCACGTTACACGAACAAGTGGAGATGCTATGTTTCCAAGGTAACGCAGCTCCTGCAAGTGTCTTCCAACCCGAGGACGATGAAGAAAGCATGTCGGTTATTTCCGAGCTATCCCGACTGTCGAGCCCGAGCCGTCGTTCATCGATGTTGGCTCGTTCCCCTTCGTGGAGTCCTGGATCTGCCTGGGTGAAGTCGCCGAAAGGAGGAAATCTTAAAAAGAGCAGCACTTTTCGCGCAGTAAGACCTCTGATGGAGGAAAACATGTGACTTGTCAGTTATAAGAACTCGTGAATAATGCATCGTCACCATATAATAAAATAGACGATTCTTATGCATTAGTGAATTAGAATGCACGCGAAAGTATTCAGTAAACGACAATCTGTCCGTTACATCACTGTCGCACTCAAAAGTAGTCAAAAAAATGGAAAGGTTTGCCATTGATCTGCCATATTTGGCGAATGTAACTGGGAATCACATTTAACCAAGTGCAAAGGTTTCAAACGTTACTGATCAGCGAGTCATTCCGCGACACATCGTCCCTGCTTGGGTATGGGACTTAAGGAGTCTCGGATGACGTTTTCTTCACAAAAGCCGTCTAAACTTTCCTTTTGTATAAAAAACCCAGCTTTTGATCGAAGGATTATTACGTGAGAGTACTCTTACTATGCAAATATTGGTAAGTCATGATGGTAGTCCTTTCCGTTTGAAACCGAAGCGCGGTGTTCCCCAAATAAGAGTCCGTCTTGTTCAATGCGAGACTCAGAAAACCGTGAACACTGTGATTAGCTTCTTATAAGTCGGTTGTCTACTAGGGAAATGCGAGAAAACCTCGAAACCACAAAACAAACAACTGTTGCTTTTGCGGTTTAGTTTGCTCACCCACTGTTGGTTTTTCCCTCGACACACTAAAACATTCCATAAATATATCTGGTGTTCACGGTTTTCCGAGTTTTGACATCAATGTCAAATGTGTACATAGTAATACAACATGGTAATACAATTATGTGAAAGTTATCCGGAAGCTTCTGAATAATGAATCAGGCATATCAGAACACCTGAGTAACTGTAACATTTTCGGCGAATTTGCCTTATTGTCCAATTGTTCAAATGGATCGTCTTTTCAAATTACTCTTAAAAAATCGATGAACTTCAGTTTTGATAGTCTGAACTATAGTTTTAATCACTAGCGTTATTGGTTATGCAAGTCTGAATCAGTATTAACAATAACACCTGCTCATTTTGGCCGCTTCTCAGCTTCACGAAGCTGAGACAAAAAGTGTGCACAATTAGTTCCCCTGTCGTGGACTGATCAATCAGTTTTTTGAGGACATGGAAAAATGTTTACATCCGCAAATTCTTGTGACACGCCCTCTCTGCTACAGTAATTTTAATTTTTTTAGGTTAGAGCTAATAAAGAATCCGATAAAGATTTACCGGCTCTGTTGTCTTCCTTTACTACGTTTTTTTTCTGAAACGGGTTTGTCAACATCCTTTTCGTGAGAAAATAATTTACATCTTCTTACGAAATAATAACAAATCTTCGTCATGTAAATCACTCATCGCCCATAACAGTGCCAACGCTTCGAGTTCTAAACTTCCTTCCATTCTTGTTTGTTTACCACCACTGCCATAATGAGACCACAATGTTGGGTCTATGAATTGTAACTTCTTCGGTTACATTCATTAAATCTTTAAACCAGAGTAGCATCAAACTATGTCCGAGACCACACATTTTATTGACAAGGCCTCTGTGAAGTCCAGTGCTAGAAAACTCTTTCCATATTTTTATGAATTCGTAGCCAGATGATGAGCAGGGGCGTGCAATCTAGTAATGAGGAAGTGCAAATATCATCAATTGCCACTCCACCCAAAGTATCTCGTGTTCTCCAAAGGAATAAACACCATATCAGCTCCGTCACAGTCAACGACATCTGGAGCACGTGACCAAACTGTTAATGAATCCATGTGACCAGGCCAGTTTGGAAGCTGAACACGTGACACGCAGCGAAAAGTTTCCCCGAGTCGAAGTTGGAAAGCACGTGAGGTAGTTTGACCCCAGGGATTTGAGGAGAGTGTTTCGCCAAAGAGTTTGCCGATGTGAATGATAGTTTTTCCGCTGTAGTATTTCAGACAGTCCAGTGAAAATGAACAATCCTCTGTCAAAAAAAAAAAATGGCTCTTACTAGTAGCAGTAATGGTGAATGATTCAAGGAGGGGGGCCTGGTGGGGAGAAGAATCGCCAAGCAGAAGGGAATTGATTGGGGATCAAGACAACATGGTAACTGTAACACAAATATCTACCTGCATGATCAGGCCAGCTCAACAGTAAAGCTCTGTCTTTATAATCACATAAAATACTTGGGTCACCTTCCTAGGGAAATGAATATTCTCAAGTCAGTTGAAAAAGATAGGAACTTGGCAGTGTGGGCAGGCTCTTGACCTGTAAAACCTTGTGTGTGATACTGGGTCAAATGTGACATCTTCTACAACAAAACTAATCCTCCCACAGAAAACAAACAAACAAAACAATTTTACCATGATCTCTGTGTATCTCATATCTGTCGGATACACAGTGTTTTGATCAAAAGCCACGATGTCTGCTCCTCGCTGTTGGAGTAGAAACTCCCAATAACCATTTCCCTACAAGCGAAAATGAACAACTCAAGATGTGAATTAATTCTGTCCGAAATGCAGTCTATTCGCCCACGAGCTGTTTCGCAGACGACCAGTTCGCGAACGTCTAAGGTCGTTTCATTAACGTCTCAGGTCAGTTCTCTGACGTCTCATAAGTCGTTCGCAAACGTTTCAGATTATTTCACGGACGTTTCTCTTCGCTATTTTAGGTAAACTACAGAATACAGGGCCACTTAAAACCATCCACACTCGTTTGGCTCGTTTGATCCTTTGTTTAAAATGCCGAACCAAATGAGCCACTAAGACTTAACGTGTTCATTCATTATTCCTCATTCTTTCATCCACTTCTGAACCAAACGAGCCACTTAATATATAAAGACCTAGACTAAGACTTGAAGAGCATTTTCAGTATTCCTCGTTATTTTATCAACTGCCGAGCCAAACGAGCCACAAGATATATGCTCCTTCAAAAGTGGCGCTGCATTGTGTAGTTGCTCCTTTCTTTTTATTTTTGTGCTCTGCGAAGTGGCACTCAAGTGAAATGATTTAAGTTGAATCAAATTGACCTTTTGCGTGTATCGAATCGACTTTGTCGTTGTATCGAATACACTACAGTTTGTCTCGCAGCGACTTGTTTTGAAACGACCTTAAACTCCCCTCAAACTTTTTCGGTCGATCAAAAGTCGATCAAGTTCTGCTGAAGGAATCACGAGGTATTTTGTAATAAGACCTATGAGACGTTAGCAAACCTACCTGAAAAAATGGCGAAACGGCTTAAGAGGTTAGCGAACTGGTAATTAGCGAAACGATTGGCTACTATCTGCACAAACCTTCATCAGCCCAAACCTTCATTATTAAACTTTTCCTTACTGTTTCGTTTTTATTTTACACCGTGGTATCTCTTAGCAGAAACGTTGAGTGGGCATAGAAAAAGGTTTATTTTTGGAAAAAAAGGAGTGAAATACCAGCAAAAAGCACAGAACAATAGAACATTAACCACCATTAGGGACTGATCTAAGATTCTTCGACAAGCACCACCCAGAATTTCGTGGAAGTTGTGTTAATCTGTGGCTGTTGCCAGCATAACTTGTATTGTTTTGCAGTTTCATAACAGAAAAAGTAAAATAATAGCGAATACTCACAGCACCTGCAGAGATGATGGGAACTTTTAATTTCATTATATGTTCAAGAGCCTCATGACAAGGGATGGAAAATGAAAATAAGATCTGTAGTCTTTGGCATGAAGTCCTCTCATCTATGTTTCTAAAAGAAACACATATTGATCTAATGTAACTCCACTGCACTGAATTGAAAATGAACTTTATTAGCAGTGCTTGTAGAAGTTAAAAAGTATGGATTGTGTTAATGGACTGGTAATGAAATAATCAATAATTCTTTTTACTCAATCCCATTGATACTAATTTAATACCAGTGAATGGATTTACTTGTATCTCTTACATGAATGTCCAGGATTGACCACAAGAATTGTTTGGTGTGTAACTCATATGGTAAGGTTTTAAGGTACTTTCTTGTTTGACATAACTATTTATATGAAACTTCATCAACAAGTACACTTTGCAATGCATTACATTGTACATGGAATACGAATCTCATATTTATACAAATGAACAGATGGACATCAAGGTCCTTCACTTGGAGCACAATTAATGATAACTATACACACAAGCATCAAAAAAAGTTTAACTGATAAAAATGACTTATTCACCACATTAGGGTTACAAACAAACCAAACAGAACGACCTTGCTTTACCAACAAATCAAAACAGACCCATCACAACCAACTTACACCACTTGAATAAAGGGGGTAAGTTTCTAAAGAAACTGTGGTGCTGTGTCGGTGGGAGAGTATAGCAGGTAATTTAGTGTTAACAACTGTGTTGAAAACGTAAATTGGCCACTGTAAAGGTTAAAAAAGGTGATGTTTCAAGCGTTAGCCCTTCGTCAGAGTGATTGGTGAAGGGCTAACGCTCAAAACACCAGCTTTTTTACCCTTTATCATGGCCAATTTACATTTTCAGTTGTTAACACTAAATTACTTAGGCCACCTGAGTCTTACAGCCAATACCATCACAACAAATTTGACCAATTAGCTTATACGAACCAGACTAAGAACATTTGATGACAACAACTATTCACTTGACACTGATGATGCCTTCCACTCAGGTTGTCAAAATGTCAGTCACCTCTACCTTCTCAGGACTACACTCACCCACTTACTCCGAGTACAAATGGTAATTTAATTTACTAAATGTAAGAATTCTTAATTAGCAACATGACCAACAACAAAATAAAACTTCACTTCAGAAGGGTGCATCATATTTAGAATCAATGACTTAAGTCTCCCTTGCCCTTGGACAGAACTGAACAACACTGGCACAGAAAAGATCTAACAGAAAAAGATACATGAAAGTCAAATGTATAAAGTTAAAGGCCGGATTAAACATGGGGGAGTGAGGATGGTACTTGGGCCAATTTGTAAATGGTATGTGCTGCTGGTTTCTCACATCCCCTACCCCATTGTAGTCCATTCTGTTTCTACCCCATTGTAGTCCATTCTGTTTCTACCCCATTGTAGTCCATTCTGTGGCCAGTTAGAGACCCCACCTCAGTCACTTTTTGGCAAATCTAAAAGCTTTTGACAGCCAATCTTCCCTGGTAAAATCCTTACTTTCCGCAATTTTCTTATCCAAAAATAAAAACAAAAATGTGCCATTTCATTTCAAGTAACTCTACTGAAAATTCAACTCTATTATAGTCACCCCAGTCATGACAATGCTACCACATTCAGCGGCACATTCCTAATAGCCTCTTACAAAACTTACAAGGAATAACCCCCACTCACACCTCTCTCTCTCGCTCTCTCTCTTTCTCCCCCCCCCCCCCCCCCCCCCCCCCCCCCCCCACTTCCCCGCCCCGGGCGCACACCAAGGACACAACCTCCTACCTGATCCAGGAGTTTAAATCCCTTCTCATTTGCTCGTCTAAAGAAGCGTCAGAAAAATGGTGAATTTTGCTAGGAGCATGCTTCATTTTCCACTTAAATATTTCGTAATAAAGTATTTTCCCGTCTGCTTTTCTCTCCTCTAGCGTGCAATACGTCAAGCAACCTGGCGCCACTTGCCATTCTGCCATGTTTGTTTTTGCTGAGTCCGCGGTATAGATGGTCTGCGAATAAAACGTAAATCGTTGCGCAGGCAACAAATCACGTGTCGAAACTCGCCACTAAATCCTTGAAATGCCGCCATTTTGAGAACGTGTGGACCGTGGACGGTTTAGTGTGCAGTACCGCTACTGTCGCTACTCCTCTTGGATTTTGGATAACTTTTGCCTGACTAAAAACGAACTCTCAAACTTTTTAAAGCCATCCGAACTATTTTGGTTGATATTTGAGGCATTTTAAAGATGAGCTGCCGAGTTTACTTGGGAAGACTACCGTATGGCACGAGGGAAAAGGACGTTGATAAATTCTTTCGCAGCTACGGAAAACTGCGCGAAGTTAACTTAAAGAACGGATATGGATTTGTGGTAAGGCATCTGTAATCTTTTTCTTGTGTTCATCTTTAATTATCATGCTGAGGATGCGGTCTGAACAGAATGCGCAGTTTTTTTGTTGAAGCACATGTAGAGATGGGCTATGGCAAAATTCGCGTTGTTCGTTTTCATTAACCAATCGCCGCCGATTTTTTATTGAAAAACTACAGCTCGTCAGGTTGTAAAGAGAGACTTTTGAGATGACTGGCCTAAGTCATACCTAAGAAATTTTTATGCTTTCAGAGCTGAATATTTTGGTCTAAATTTAATTTCTTTGTTGCCTTATTGTTTTGGTAAGGGAATCCCACTATTCAAAATGAAATTTGGTATAGATGGCTCAAGTAAATTGTTCATACCAACAAACTTGCATAGGCCCCATGACGAAGATTAATTTGTGGTTTGAAACATTTTCAAGTTTGCAAATGTATAATGTTTTCAGTCGAAGGAAGAAAAGTTTAATGTTTAAGTTTTTTCTCATAGCCTACCAAGACTTCAAAGGAAATTGTAAATAATGATTGTTAATTAGACAGGAGACCTATTGCAACTTTAGCCTAATATTTTGCAACACTGGGAGAATATTACCAGAAAAATTTCCTTTAGCTCTGCACACTCCTTGCCTGAAGCTCCATGGAACCAATTGTAGTTCACATTTGAGAAAAACTCATCACTGATATATATTACAATGCATATTTTTATATATTTTACAAGTTAAAAAGAGAAACCAGGTAATGGATTAAAATGGAATTTCAGTGGCTCATCGTGCCAAAGAGTTGATACAAAGTTGAACTTCTTCTATGACACATCCTCTGTGGTTATCCTTTGTAAATTGAATGTGTGTAAAAAAAATGTTACAGAGATGCCATATTCTTATCAATTTAACACACACCTGCCATTAGCATATAGAGTTTTGTCAGAGATCCTTAGTAGCTAATCTCCAAGGAGTTCAGAGGAAACTTATTGAATGGCCCTATTTTTTCAGGAATTTGAGGATCCGAGAGATGCAGATGATGCAGTTTATGAATGCAATGGTAGAGAAATGATGGGAGAAAGGTGAGCTTTTTGAGTCATTGAGAGATTGCTCATTGATACACTCAAAGGAGTGTTGCTAGTTTCTTGAAAATGTATCAATTTTTTAGCTGCAGAGAATTAATTAGGTCTATATTTTGATTATGTGCCTTGCAAGTTGATTTCTTTCCTTTTTATATTCAGAATTCTGGTGGAACATTCTCGTGGGACTGCTAGAGGCTTTAGCAGTGGTCGCAAGTCAAGAGCTAGAGATAAGTGAGTTCAGTTTAGTTCTTTTCAGATGGTAACCATAACCAACCCTTTCCTCTCACGATAGTAGTCTTTTCCAAGAAACAAACTTGTCATCAGGAAAGTCAACAAAAGAAGCAAGTTTAAGAATCACAGTGCTGATAAGGAGGACATTTTCCTCAGAGGATACTATTTAATATATGAAATTTTGGAACAAGCCAGATCAATTTAGCTTTTCATACATTCCTGCTGTCAGCATCTCAACAAGAAAAGGAAGAAAGTGAATCCAAATAGTAACTCAGGAAATCATCTTTTTCACATCATATGAAGGACTCAATTTTGTGTGATTTACATTACTGTTTTGCTGAGGATAGTAACTAATAATAGATGTATTTGTAAGAGAATTTTTATGGATAAAATGTTCTCAAAATTAGGAGGTTGTTTAACCACAATTTTGTAGCTGTTTGTTACACCATCCCAATTTTATGGCAGGGTACTGTTGTTGCATTTGATATTTAGAATGTCCATCATTTAAAATGATGATGCTATGAGACCAGTCATAACACAATACTCTATCATAATAATGGGTTTACATCATTATCAGAAACCACAACCCTTTTTAAAAGTTAATGATAAAAAATATAACCAAGGTTGTTTGTATTACTTTGTTGTTAGGTATGGTCCACCTGTAAGGACACCATGGCGAATCACTGTTGAAAACTTATCAACACGAATTAGTTGGCAGGTTAGTGAGAAGTAAAGGTGAACTATCAAAGAAGATGGTTTTTTTTTTTCTTTTGAGTTGATTGGGTGAATGAAATGTCTTAAGTGCCCATTAGTTTTCACCTCAAACTGAACTATGATTCTAGTTTGGCATTTAACAAGTTAAAGTGGAAAACTTGAGATTTTGTGTAGGGTTATTTTGAATTTAATTTTTTTTGCTAGCACATTCATTGTAATTCACCTTATCAACTCAGATGAGTCTGTAAGGGGTGGTAAATTTATCTGCAGGACAGATGGATGAGTGTTATAAAGGTTGTTTCCCTCTTATTCCATTGGTTACTTAACAATAATGTTTTTTGGGGTTGGTTTACAAAGCTGGATACATAAAGCAACAATTGTGACTTCCTTTTTTTTTTAACTCAGTTTGAGTTATATCTAATATTGAGTTTGGAGTTTCATGATGTTGGTATTTTTATTGCAATGGAGTGGGTATAGTCAGAGGGTTAAGTACCAATTGCTCTAAGAACTGCAGGTTTTACTGGTATTCACTGCATTGCCTTCAAATATTTTCAGTTGCAAGATGCACTTGTGATGAGGGTTGATGTGAGGGTAGTCACAGATGCTTAGATGCTTAGATGATTCAAAGCTTCCCCTCTGATGGATGAGTGGCTTTGATGCACTGATGCCATCAGAAGTCAATGTATACAGTTGTGACAAGACGATTTTCACAAAGGCATGACGCAAAAACGCTTCTTGGCCCATGACGAATGACGCGCCCAGTTCATTGTACATGTAAATCAAAGATGTTGGACCCCTTTGAAATCATTCACTGTTGTATTTCATTTTCTCGTACTGAATATGATGGTACTAATCGTTTTCTATGGCCAAATGGGTAATGCAGAATGTTTCGCGTATGTGGCTGGTATGACTAAAAACAGGGACAGTTAATCTTTTTGAAAGCGAAAAACGTCTAAATGAAGCTGGTTGATCCGTTCGACAGGGGGAACAACAATTTTTTTGGTGCAGAAGAAAGCTGCATGGAAGTTTCATAGATTGGAATTGCAGAACAAAATTTATTTGTGAACGACATTTGGACTTTCGAGATTACGGTTTAGCTCATGAATTTTTGCTTATTATCAGGACCTGAAGGATTATGCACGTCAAGCTGGTGAGGTGACATACGGAGATGCCCACAAGCAAAGGCAGGGTGAAGGGTAAGTTCTTTTCTGAATGCAGCTACACTCTTGCAGAAGTTTGGTTAGAAGCATGTAGATGACGATTATAGTATGCACTCATCAACTGTTGTTGAAGAGAAACAGCGAGAGGAGCACATTGTAATAATACAGTCGGGAAAGGTTGCCTGATAATAGCCCACCATAATCGAGTGCGTAACTGGTTTGTCTTTTATTTAGTACCCTAGAGTTTGCAACCAAGAGAGACATGAAAAATGCGTTAAGGAAACTGGACGGAACTGAACTGCATGGAAAAAAAATAAGGCTGATAGACGTAAGTAACGATATCAGAAATCTCTTCTTGTAATACACTGCAGGAGCTTGAAGATGGGCATTCTGGGTGATACATGTAGTTGACTGTAATGTCCACTGCTTATCTTTGTTTTCATATTTTCTTCAATTCACAGGAAAGCCCGCGTTCGCGATCTCGTTCCCGATCACGATCCAGAAGCAGATCTAGATCCAGGTCTCGCTCTCATTCACGCTCGCGTCGCCAGAATTCACGTTCACGTACCAGGTCACGGTCTCACTCACCAAGACGCAAGAGATCTCGCTCTAAGTCTCGTTCCAAATCACGCTCTAAGTCTCGCTCAAAGTCACCTAGGCACTCGAGATCTAGATCAAAGTCCCATTCAAAGTCTCGCTCTCGTTCTCGGTCGCGATCCCCTCAGAAGTCTAGATCACGTTCTCGTTCTGCCTCTCGGACGCCGAGAAATGACAAAGCCGGATCAGCCGAGCCTGGAGCTGATGAGAACCAGAATCATAATCCTGCTGATGGTGACGCTGAGCCCCAGTAAAACCAGGATCTTTTACTCCTAAGTGAACTCTGTACGTGGTGCTGAATCTTTCTGTAGATTTTAACTTGAGTTTTTCGCGCATATCATTAGAGATAAGTGAGCATACAATATGTATTTATGTACTAATTTATGTAAACGGATTTAGAGATTTGACTTGATTTGGTTTCTTGCCAGATTTTGAGCATAATTGAACGTACATGTTATTTTTAAGCCATACAAATGTAACCTCTGTTTTGTGGGAACCATTAAAAGATTTTTTTTCTGTCGCAAGTGAATGTTATGTGCTCACTGTCTTATCGCCCAGCTGTTTCCCAGAATTTGGGGACTTGCAAGTGAATGATTGTCAGTGGAAACCTCTCGCCAGGTTGATCAGATTATATTAACAAGATCGTTAGATTCTGAAAAAAAATTGTGTTGTGTCTGCGAGAAAGTGAAAACTTTTAGTTGAATATTAGCTTAAGTCTGTAAGGTATAAATACCGGCCAGGCGAATTTTGAAGAGCTGGTGTTTCGAGCATTAAGCCCCGTCTGAACGGTCATGATAGTTTCAACTATCACGCGCGTTTGAACATGAACTATCTTTCACTTACATCGACCATCGTTAACTACCATATAGTTCAGACATGTCCAAATTGGACATGATTGTTGATGACATTATTTGCCGTTTGAATAAGCGGATGATAATTAACGATGAATGAAGGGGGTAAGTTTCTGAAGAAACTGGTGCTGCATTGGTGGGAGAGTATACCAGGGTAATTTAGTATTATCAACTGATCTGATAGCGTAAGTTGGCCATTGTTGAGAGTCAAAAGCTTACGTTTCGAGTGTGAATGATAGTTTTTCGGTCAGCAGTTTTGCTGAAAACGGGCTAAAACCGAAATACCAAAATTTCTTAGAGTGGCTCGTGATTCATTCTTATCATTCCCAGGTAGGCTTCAGTATCCTAAACTAGCAACTTCTTGACTGAAATTTCAAATGCCACCCAAATCTCTGACCTCAGCGCGCGCCATCCGTGTCTAGAGCAACGAGATCTCACTGCGTGAATTTGTCAACTCATTATCAACAACCATCATACACCGTTTGAACGCAAACGTGATAATCAATGATAGTGAATGAAAGTTTAAATTATCATCGAATATCAACTATCATGACTGTTTGAACGGGGCTTTAGCCTTCGTTGGAATACTGCTCAGTTAGAAGGACGAGTGCAGTTAACCATTTACACCCTAGCATCAGTACACATAATCTCCATGCTGTCCTTAATACATTTTCTAGGGTGCTGAC